ACATCATGTGTATGATGACTACAGGACACTTCCATTTCCATTTGAGAGTGTAGGATTGGGTTCTGAAGGGAATTCACTGGTTCCTGATATACCAAAGGAAGTTTCATTTGAGGGAGTATTTGGGATTTTTGAGATCATGGTCTGCTTGGAGAGTTGCTAAACTAGTCAGAACTGTTGTCTATATGGCATTAATGCGCTTAGAAAGTAAAGTTTTAATGTCATTATGACGTGTTCTTGTTATTCTTGACATCCCTTTGGGTCAAATAAATAATGTTGAAATTTAAACTGTCGACAAACTCGTTAAGAATCCATATACTAATGAATAAAAGATTCTCTGTACAATCATGAACTGATTTAAGAATCCATAACGTATCAATTCTGTATTTGTTAAAACAGAACTAGTTTAAGGTAAATATTATATTCAGAGTCTCTTTTTATGATCTTACATTTCAACGTTTTGAAATCAAGGGGTAGGAGCAGAATTTTAAATTGGCAAAAAAGGGAATTTCAGGGATTACCTACCACGATTTGGACAAACATTTGCAAAGTGCGATGGATCGCCACAGACGAAGCACCTGCCGGATATGGGTTCACCTGTTGCAGATACAAATGCTACATCGTTTGATTGTCTTCCACTTCGGCCACCCCTGCCACGACCGCCACTCCTGCTGGGATTTGATGTTGTTCTACTTATGTTTCCACGTGTAACTCTACCTCCTTCATTTATGTTATCTTCCCAACTGTATTACAGACTATGATTAACAAATAGATGGATGAAAAAAAACCTCAAGTACTAGCATACCAAAGATATGTTTGGCGAGAATAATCGAACATGACTACAGAGAATACAGCAAAAGAAACTAAAATCTTATTCATTATTGTGTTCAGTATTGTCTAATACTGCACACAAAATATGCTCTAAAAGGCTTGTAGCGAATAAAAATGGTGTTCATGCTACATATTTATTCAACGGAATAAAGAAGGGAAAATCTTAGTTTTACGTACACAAAGAAGTTGCATTCCGGTCGACATGAGTAGAACTTCCTCCCTCTATTATTTGCAGTATTAGCAGTGCGCAGAACACAAGGTGCACCACAGGAGCTACATGGAATTGAAGATTCCCCTGCATCATCAGGAATAAAAAGAATCACGTGTATCATTCTGCTTTTAACGGGATTATAGACGTACATTTATAAGAAATTTAACTCATGAATTGACTACCACATAGGAGAATGCCATCTCCCGAAGGGTACAATGAAAGTATGCAGTTCAGTCTTTTCTTAAATCCTTGGGAAGAAAGTACACAGCCTAGTCATACAAAGTTATAGGAATCTTAAGGATGAAGGACCAGGCATCTAGCTTTCGATTTTGGCATGCAATTTATGTCACTTCTTATTTTCCTTGTCAAATATAAACGTGGGACAGGGAGGTAAATTGTATCATCTTTGTTATATTCATTTTCCCCATAATTAGGCCTGCTCGGATAGGAATGCTAAGATAACTTCTAGCGGCTAATTAGGTTATATGGTGGTTGTCATTTATGGGCTGCAGAGTGATGAGTGATACAAGATATCGGTTGCACCCATAAGAAGCCAAAACAGGAAATATCGCGATAGTGCAATAAAAGATAGTAAAAGCATCACACCCTCTTGAGCGTCAGCTTCCTGAGATCGCACATTTCGACCACGTGAAACCCGTGAAGGACAAAGGTCAGAAGAATGCCCAGTTTGTCTACAGTTTGCACAAGCATTCTGCCCCCTAGAGTTACTTCGTTGAGCACTGTTGGATGACGGAGTATGCCCTGATCCTCTACCTAGCAGAAGAAAATGACAAACTGATTATTGGATAACAAGACGATGAACCAAAGAAGCCAAATACCTGAACTTCTATTGTCAAACATTTCACTCATTGGTGTTACGAATGTTGCTTAAAATCTGCGGCGGTTTGGTGTGAAGTAACATGACAACAAAATTCAGATTCATGGCAATGTGTATGGATAATTGATCAGCACACCATATTAGCAAAGTTAAACCCTCTGTTGCATAGTTAGGTTCTGCACAAATGTTTTAGGTTGGTAGTACTCTGGAATAGATGCAAGATGACTGCAAAAACAGAGGACTGGTAATGCAACAACAAACTAAGCCTTGTCCCAATAAATTTGGGGACACTAGTAACATAAAAATAACATATTATACATATCATATAATTGAGATATCATCCATATGTGTACACACACACACACACACACACACTCTCTGTAATTACAGTAATTTAGATCCTGATTGTAGCTCCTAATTTATTGTAGCTTCCAATAGTAGCCTAAGTTAGTCAACTATTGTAATTGTATGCTGTATTGTAATCTTAACAGATGAATACAACACAACTTTCTGTTCTCTAGAAACTATAACAGCATGGGTTTATTATTAGTTCGATGGTGAAGCATTGTGGTCAACTTCATTGCTAACAAAGTATAGAATAGAATATTTTAATGCGACAGGGGGTTTCATCCCACATTTAACAAATTCCACCCAATTAATAATATATCGTATTGTAATCTTAACAGATGAATACAACACGAATTTCTCTCTTTTAGAAACTATAACAGTACATGTTTATTATTAGTATGATGGTGAAGCATTCTGGTCAAATTTCCACTTCATTACATAAAACCAATGAGTACCAGGACGTTGAAACTCCATACCTTGTACACTGGAGCTGTTGCGTGAACCAGTTCCACAAATTTCCACTAGCTGCCTTAGAATATCATCACAGCCTCCAATGCAACCTGACCAGACGTATGAAGAACTCAGCGTACCTCGGTATTAAAAACCTTTGTAACATTTTGAACATAATATAAACTGTCAAACAACAAATTAACTTCGCCAGTAATTGACTTTTCTAATGCTTGAACTTTTGCTGACATCTCATGGAAGAGAGATTTCAAGGAATCTAGAAACTTTAACCTTGTCCGCAAGACTTCAAAATGTAGCCAAAATAGAGAGAGAGAAAGAGATCATGGAATGGCTATTCTGCCTAAATCCATTTATCTTTGTGAAGATTTATTACACTCTTTGATTTCAGCAAAAAAGCCATCATCATCGATAGGAAAAAATTTATCAAAAGGTTCCCTCAATTATACTTTAGGAATCCTTATGACCTTTACATGATATAGATTAATTAATCCCAAGAAAGTAAACATGGGACAAGTAATGAATAGATGAAAACAATGTCAGCTGAATAATTTTAAAAACAACTTTGCTGTTTAAAATTGCAATTACTTTTAATCGATATTCTAAAAAGCGTGAAGTTTGGCTAGGCGTGGAGACCAATTTTCAAGCTTTACGAGCTTAGTCGAGGCCTAGGCGTAAAAAAGGTTACTTATTTTTGCTATTATTTTAAATACTTAATCATTCTAAAAATCATTTAATAATTAAAATAATACATACCAAACATCTAAGATTAGAAAATACTATATGTATTTAATAATTCCTAAAATTAGTCAATTATACAATTTTCAAGTTTTCGAAATACAAAAGCTGAATTATTTTTCATAATTTCAACTTTCAACTAGACAAATACTACTTAACAAATTTATAGAAACTTCATACATACTTTCGAAATTTTCAACAGTTCGATGTGTCTCAAAATCATAATTACGCATATAGATAACAACGTAACTTAAAAAGCTTATCTAAATCTTTATTGAATAAATTCATTTTTTTACTTTTATACAAATAAAATCATTTAAAATTTTGAAACTAAAATCAAATAAAACCCCTCTAAAAAAATTAAAAAATAAAGAATTAATAAACTAAAATCAAATAAAATATTTTTAAAAAAGCAGTTGACCGCTTAATGCGCACTTAAGGCAAAGCGTTTTGCCACGCCTCGTACCTAGGCACGCTTTTTAGAATAATATTTTTGATACCACACACAAATACAAATGGATACAAAAACGTTTATGAATAGTTGCTCAAACTGCTATATCACACAAAGAAATGAATATATACATGAAAGAGTTTGGATCTACTCAAGTGGTTTTTCCAATTTTATAAAGGCTAAGGTAACTTTCTTTACTTCTAATAGCTTTGTTTACGTTGGAACTAGCCTAATGATTTGACAGGTCAAGTTAACTTAGTGGACCAACGACGTCGCACATTGATGATGGATGCCAACTAGATGCCAAATCCATCACCATGACTAAATGTGATCTATA